CGGTGCGGGATGTGCGTGCAAGGCGCGTGACACATAAACGCGTGGGTTGGTCGCTCTAGAAGAGGAGGTTTAAGATTTCGCTGAGATTGTGGGGCTGTGTAAAACCTGCCTCTCGTCTAGGGCGGCGTCGAGCTCAGCGCCTCTTGCTGACGGTCAGGTCTGTCACCCCCGTGCCTGCCTTCCCCGGGGGCCACGTGGTCGCCCCTGCAGCGGGGGCCTGGCCTGGCCTGGGGCAAAGGCGGGCGCAGTCCGGTTCCGTGGCCGGTTCGCTGGGTTTCTGAGGTTTGTCACCAGCTGAGTATGTTACAGCTCCGTGGGAAAAATCTGCCCAGTGACACGGTGGTGATGCCCCATGCGTGTCCCTCTGCTGTGTGTGGGTGTGGGTGAGGGTCCCCGTGCCCCGGCTGATGCCTGAGGCAGGACGGTGCGCCCGAGGTCCGGTGGCCGGACACAGCGGCAGTGGCTGCAGTGTCAGATACGCTGGCCCTCGCTGAGAGGTCACGGATGCCATTACTCGTGACTGGTCAGCGATGGCCCGTCCGGTCTGACTCTGCTGGACACTCCCAGCAGCGTGCACCAGGGGGCAGCAAAGCCATGCGGACGTTCCCGCCCTTGTGCCGGCGTCTGCGGCAGCTTGCAGGGCTGCGTGGCGGTGGCCGCAGGAGCCTCCCCTGCTTCCCCGTTCCCTCCGGCTCTGTGACCAGTGAGCTCTGGTGCTGCTGCGAGTCACTGTGACCTGCGGGTGACGGCGGCGCCGGAGGAAGTAACGGGTCATCGTGGCCCAGAGGACAGACCGCGGGTGTCAGTTCGGCACCCGTCTCCGACGTTGTGATGAGTGAGAAGCGAGCGGCTGCTATTTCCTTCACCTGGTGGTGGGCTCTTCTCTTACCTGCTCGACTCGTCTTATTTTCCTGTAAGGGTGAGAAGCTCCTCTGGGGCACAGCAAGTAAACGGTGTCGTGTGACAGCCCCCCACAGGCTGACATCGGGTGCTGTGAAGCCCCTCCTCAGGCTGACATCGGGTGCTGTGACAGCCCCCCATGGGCTCACATCGGGGTGCTGTGACAGCCCCCCACAGGCTGACATCGGGTGCTGTGACAGCCCACCCACGGGCTGACATCGGGGTGCCGTGACCGCCCCCAGGCTGACATCGGGTGCTGTGACAGCCCACCCACGGGCTGACATCGGGGTGCCGTGACAGCCCCCCATGGGCTCACATCGGGGTGCTGTGACAGCCCCCCATGGGCTGACATCGGGGCGCTGTCACTGCGTGCCCAGATGCCTCGAGACCAGCCTAGCTGTACCCCTGGGAACCAGCCATTTCCACTTTGGATAAAGCGTTCCAAACGCATCACGACAGGTTTTCACACGTGAACACGCCCAGGAAAGCTTTTGACTTTTCCCTTCAATGTTCCGAGAATTCTGTCTCTAAAGTGTATCTCGTGAGACCCAGGGGGGTCTCTGCGTTTTGTAATTTTCTACAACTTGTAAGGTTCTTCTTTTAAAACATACTCTCAGATGCAAGTACAGTTTTGGACTTCATATTTAAAAAAATATGAATTTTGGAAATACATCCTTCATAAACCACGTTCGGCCTTTAAGGGAGGTACGTCACCTCCTCGGGCCGCAGTTCCCTGGTGTCACTGTGACCGGCTGTCCCTCTGTCCCGCCTGTCTCCCGTTAGGTCACGACGGGGCCGTGAGCGCCGTGTCCTGGAGCCACGACGGGAAGTGGCTGCTGTCTGCCTCCCAGGACGGGACGCTGAGGGTGTGGTCGGTTCGCAGGACGGAACTCGCATTGTGTCTGGTAAGGGTCACTCCTGGCAGTTGCAAAATGACCGGCCCTGTGATCTCAGGACTGTCAGGTAGTCACAGCTGTCCAGACAGAATGTCCTCCAAGGTGAGGCGGTCAGGAAATGGGGCAAACCAGGAGTTTGCTGCAACGCACTAAAAGTTATTGATTACAGTTTTCTTAAACGTGGTGTGTATGCGCACACACATGATGGGCACGCGCATGACGTACATGTGCACAACACACACACGTGCAGTTGAGTACGTCTCATGTTCATTATCTGAAATGGCAAAATCATTACCCTTAAAATCCTAGAAAGGCCTTCGAAGTGAGCTCAGTGCGTTCTTACAGCAGAGGCAGCGCCGATGGCCAAGGGCACAGTGTACGGAGGACGTGCCTTTTGGGGAGAAAATGTCCTGTTTTGGTGAACTTCTAGGAGCTCATTTGGACACAGAATGGGAAAGGAGACACGGGTGATGGCATCGAGGTGACAACAGCTTCCAGCCATGATGGGGGATGCGAGGGGGTAGCAGGGTGTGCAGCTTTGAGGGATCACGTGGGGAGCTGGCGACCTGCACATTTTCGGAGGCGTCATTAGCGTTTACTTTCCACGAGTCCTGTCGTAAATGGGGATCGAGTGCAGGACAGCTGGCTGAGAAGGGGCCGGGGGGACCTCAGGCTCCCGGGGGCCCTGCCCGCGGCCTAAAGTGGAGATGCCGTTGAGGGCCGCGGGTGCTGGCCATGCGGTGGGCTGTGGCGAGGGCGAGGCCGACCCCTCAACTGCCTTTTAAAACACGCTCGGGCTTCGCCGTGACCAAACCCTCGACGCTTGGTCAGTTTGCTGCCGTGCTTCGGTTGCCTCTCATTTTAAAGTTTTTAGAGGCCGGACTTCCAAACACTCACGACAGAGAAAGTTCATCTCATGCTCTCCATCAGAAGCAGTCAGAGAGAAGCAATTTGGAGCAAGGTGTTGGAGCTGGGGTGACAGAGCCCCCTGCTTAGGCAGCAGCGTTTTTGACGCTGGCGCCCTGTCTGACACCCCGTCATTCCATCGCAGGACAAGGACGTGTTCCCCCAGGCTGCGCGGTGCGCCCAGTTTTACTACCTCGACGCCTTCATCCTGTCGTCCGCGGGGCCCGAGGTCCGGCTGCTCAGGCACCACGTGGACACCCGCCGGGACGAGCTGCGGAGGTAGGGGCCGCGTTCTGTGGGCGGGGCCGCGGGGCTCAGCCGGTCGCCTGCACGCTGGTCTCGGCATTTGCGAACGTCCTCCGAGGCTTGGGGACACTGCCTTACAGACGAGCTGGTGGGAGCTGAGCGAGCCGTGTCTCTGTCCCCAGGCTGCTGGCCCTATACTGCACCCCACGTGGGCGCCCACCCCCCCCAGTCCTTGGCAGGCGCTGGCTCCTGTCACCAGAAATGCCCGGCGTCCACCACCAGCACCACTCAGTTTCGTCCGCTAATCCTTAGCTTTCCGAGCCTAAGCGGGCACTGACCTGTGACACGCGCAGTCGTCACCCCGCATCCCGAGGCGCCGCGGCCCCCACTTCAGGACCAGTGCCCCCGGCACCTCCACCCAGGTCCAGATTCGGTACCAGGCTGGCGTGAGCTCAGTGCAGCTGCCTGCAGGCGTGCGGGCGTCCGCTGGGCGTCCCCTCTGGGCCTCCCGGTGCCAGCTGTTCCGCCCTCCCCTCTGCTGCCCCGGGGCTTTCGGCGTGTGTCCACGCACACCCTGTCCCCTTCTCCTGTGACCGGTCCTTCCGGAAACGCTGTCCTCGTCTGCACCGTGCACAGTGCTCTTACAGTGTCCCACTGTGCACAGTGCCGCCCTGCGGGGCTTCCAGCAGCTTCCGGCACAGACGAACCGGGACACACGGAACCTTGGTGCTGTCCCCGCGCTGCCCCGCCTGGTGCGCTCGGGACCGCAGTCCTGGGCAGCACTCCGTGTCACCCCTCTGAGCACCCCCACTGCGCCGGACTCTGCATGTCACCACCCAGCCCCCACCCAGCCCTTACCTGCCGGTGGGAGGCAGGGCCGATGGCCTGTGTCATCCTCACTGAGCCCCGGCCCCACGGCTTCGTGCCATCACCGACCCGTGCCTGTGGGTGCCCCGTCCTCGTCCCCCGGGCCAGGCAGCGGCGCCCCTGCTGCCCCTGCTCCCCCTGCTCCCCCTGGTCGCCTGGCCTTGACTCAGCCACGCCTTCCCTGGGCCGAGACCATGGCCGGGAACTGCTAGCAGGTTCTCACTCTGTGAAACTATCGTTGAGGGTTAAGACCGTGTGTGTGTTAAACCAGGACTACCTGCTCCTGTTAGGGAATCTTAAAAAGTCACGTTCAAGTGGAGATACAAATTTCTGCCTGGCTGGATGTCCTCGTAAGTATACGTGATTTCGGAATTAGGAGAGAGGTTTGCTTTCTCAGACTGGAATGAGTTCTTTTTGGCCGTGCATCATCTTAATGAAGTTTCTGTAAAGGAGACGGAGGCAGCCGACTCGCTCCCTCCCTCAGCGTTGTAACCGCTCATGCGACGGTGTGAAGACGCCGTTTTCAGTCTTTCACAGGCAGCGTGCGCCGTCGCGGTGGAGCAATGTGCTCTCCGCTGCCCCTTCCAGGTACAGGCAGAGGAGCTGGTGCAGGGCCGTGTGCGGGCTCCGCATGACAGGCGCCGCCGAGGTCACCGGCCTGTCCGCGGTGAACGAGTTCTACTCCTGTATCCTTTCTCCGTCCTCCCGACGCCGTCACACCCTGCCGTCCTCCCGGCGACAGTCGGCTGAGTGAGTGAGCTCCGGACAGCGTGCTGGGCCCTGGGGCTCCGAGTCAGAGGGGCTGGTTCTGCGTGTGTTCGTTCCATCTCGGGAAAGCGCCTCAAAGACAGAGAAGGGAAGCGGACGCAATAGCACACGTGACGCTGAGCGGGCGGCCTCACCCGATGCGTCCGGTCTCACCCGATGCGTCCGGTCTCACCCGATGCGTCCGGCCTCACCCGATGCGTCCGGTCCCACCCAATGCGTCCGGTCTCACCCGATGCGTCCAGCCTCACCCAATGCGTCCGGTCTCACCTGATGCGTCCGGTCTGGGGCTTGTTGAATAATGTCGGCCAATTTAACACATTTTGAAAGAAACCGCTGCCCTTACCGTAGGCGCCCTTTGGTTAAGCGAGCACTTATCTTATCTCTGGATGCTGGCGAAATTCATAGCTGTTGCTGTTCAGTAGAATATAAAATGGAGTGAAAAACTTTGTGTTTTTGTGGCTGACATCACCCCTTTTAATTAAAATGTGTTAATTTAAACACTTAGGCTCAAAGATCATAATCTTCAGGAATTTAAAAAATTTTAATTTGTTCAGAGGTCTAAGTTGAAGTCTTAAGGATTTTATAGTTGAAATTTCAGGACTGGTGGAAGGTGTTAGATGTTCTAGTATATTTTAGTGAGAAATCTGCTTTTTTATTCTGGAAGCTTTTGCTCAAAACAGAACGGAAGCCCCCGGCGGAGACGCGCCGCTCCGATCCTGTCGCCTTGGACGGTCTCCGCGCGGCGTGGCGCCAGCGTTGGGCTGGTCCGCGGGTCCGGCCTTCCCACTGGTGTGGTGTCCCTTCCGGCGTCCCAGCGCGCACGCCGCTGCCTTCCGCCAGGCGCCCTCGTGAGTTTTCTGGGCTGGACGCTGGCAGCTGGGTAGTTCCGGCGTTTGCGTGAGCCTTAAGGTCCTCAATGGCCCCTCACGAGGTTCGTCACCCTTGCTTGCAACGTGCCCCTGTAAGTCGTGTCCTGTCACTCGTGCAGCCTACTGCTGGTGACACCGGCCACTGGTGTGGCTCCGCTGTCCATCTTTACCTCAGACCTGTCCTCCGAGCCCAGTACCTCCAGGTCAGCCTGTGACCGCGCCTGCTACGTGCCGTTTCCTGGGCGTCTGACTCGTCACTTATCTAGAAGTGGACGCTCGTTCTCCGGCTTGGAACTGGCTCCGCCCGGGTCTCCCCGTCTGCCTGCCACCAGCTCTTGCCCGAGGCCGGGCCGGTGTGGGGCGCAGGGTCCTAACGGATCACCTGTGGTCTCCTGGTGTTTCCAAGCTTACCGAGAGGGGCCCCGGGCTGTCACTCCTTGGGGGCGGGCCCTGAGTTGTGTTCCTTAGCAGACCCGTGCAGACCTCGTGCTGGCCGCCGGCCGGAGCAGGACCTTGGAGGTCTTCGACCTCAACGCGGGGTGCAGCGCAGCCGTCATCCAGGGGGCCCACGCACGGCCCGTCCACCAGATCTGCCAAAACAAAGTGAGTGAGCTTTCGGTATGCTGCGTCATCGGTCAAGGTTTGTGTTGAAAACGTTTAACATGCAAATGTGTGGTGCAGTTTCATAATTTGCCACCTAATTCAGTGTTAATTTTTATTGAACATTAAATTAGTCTAAGCCTTGATGTTTGACATTAGAAGATATTTTAATATATCGAATGTTAATTTTTGTACTTTTGTTCCTGATTATTTGACGAGTCCATTCTTTGACTTTACTAGTAAAACCTTCTCACTTAAAACTTGAGAGTTCGGGTGTTTCAAGCACTGAGTGGGTAGGATGACAGTCACGTTGATTCTGAATGTGAAGCGGACTTCGTGAATCACAGCTTCTCCTTTTAGGAGAGAGCTCATCTGTCATGACAGAAATGGGTTGAAAATGCGCACAGCCGAGGGTCAAGGCCTTGGGATTAGACGAGGTGACCTTTCTGATGAATTCATTGTTCAAGTTTAGTTCAGAAGACACTGTGTTACCCAAAAGAGCATCCAAGAGACCTGGGAACAAAGTTTCTGTTTTCAGAACCACAGCTGCGATTTTGATGTTCAGCAAATTTGAGATCGATTTCCAAAGTGAGGCTTTAATTGGTAACGGCTTCTGAGGTTGCGTTATGATTCGAGGACACTGCTTCTTAAGTGAAGTCTCACTGTGTTGGTTCAAAGACCATGTCAGCCACAGTTTCCACACGTTATTCCAGGTACCCTACCTTCCCATGTGGCAGGGCAGCTGCGGTCTGGTGTCTGTGAAGTTTGTCACCCGTGCGAGAGGGGACAGAAGCACAGATTCGAGACCAGGGAGTTGCACTTTGTCGAAGCAGCCGCTGCCCCAGTGTCCTTCTGGACAAGTGGCACTAGAGAGCTTGGGCCACAGACTTTCTCGGGGTGCAGTGCGGGGAGCCCAGGTTCTGCCGGAGCAGGCCTGAGGCTCTGTGTTCAGGTCCCTGCGAGATGTCGGTCAGGACGGGGTCAGAGCCGGGAGGAGGAGCACGTGGAGGTGCGGGTCACCCACCGCGTGGCTGTCCTGGGTCTGGGGTGGGAGACTTCGAAGGCTCAGACAGCGTCCCTCCTGACGTTCCCCTAGCGTTATACCCGCAGAGATTAATTACCTCGGACGTTTCAGACTACGATAGGGGAAGGGTTTTCTGGTTTATGTAACGTTATGGAAAGTATCCGCGTAGAGCGAGTTGATGAAGAAAGATTATTTTTCTGTATCTTTATTTGTACAGACTCCTGTTGCATAAAAACAGAAGAAAAATATTCTAAACACTGCGTTGTAGGTCCCTAGATAACAAAGGAATCCCTTTGAAGCAGTTCGTAACTTCTTTACGAGGCTCCTAAAATAGCAGACTTCAGAAACAGTGCGCGTGACATCAGCTCCGAGCATGGCGACAGCCCTGGTTGAAGGTCACGCTCTGGGTGGCTGTGGAGGAAGGGCGTCCGCCGGGTGGTGTCTGGTGGGAAGAGGTGTGCTGCTCTGTAGTCGATGGCCACGGTCTTGTGCTGCGAATTTCAAGGGCAATCTGTTGGGATGGGGGTTGAGAGTGGTTCCTAGACGGTGCTCGTTTCCGGGCTAGTAAATGAATTTGATAACTGAGTCATATATAAAATGATCGTTAGCCTGATACCCGTCTGATTTCTCAGGAATTGTGATTTCATCCAACTCAATGAGATATTGACAGGCGATATTTTGGTGTAGAGTTTTAACAGATGAGTCTGACTTGCCGTGTCGGTTTAGCGACACTTCCAGGCCTTTGGCCTTCAGACTCCTTAGCGCATGTTGGGGTCTCAGTTGCCTTTGTGGCGTGTGGAGCCATCGTCTGTACCTAAGGTCCGCTCGGTCAGCATTTGCTGATTTGAGTCACACTAATTGCCACCACTGAAGGACCAGGATCCAAGTGTTTATGTAGCAAATGAGATGTAAATGCGGAGGGCAGAAGGTTTCTTGAAGTTAACACACAGGTTTTAGGAGTTAAAGTCTGACAGACAGCATTTGAAAGTGTTTAATGTTTCATACTCAAAATGCAGTATTTAAAATTTGTCTACAGATAAAGACTTGTAATACCCAGTACCTCTCTTGAAATGTTATGTAGTTGTGTATTTGACCAGTGTTTTTTTAGTTTAAGTCCTTAGTACAATTCAGTGAGAATTAAATTTACCAAACATTGTCATTCTTGAGTTAAAATATTTCAGCCACGAAGATAAATGTGGCTCTCACGTGTGATGTCTCTATGTTGTAGATGGTACATTTAAAACATATTTCTTACCTTGCGTTTGACACTTGCCGCTTCTTTATCTAAAGCATTGTGGTTTATTAGAGAAAGATTTCTTTGTTCATTTAATTTGTGAATTTATGGCACATAGCTCTTACTAAAGTCTGTCATTTCAAAGCCACTCATCATCACCATCACCATCATCATCATCATCACTTTTTGTCTGTGGAAAATGGTCTGTCAGCATTTCCATAAATATCTATTTCCTTTTTGTTTACTTATTACGTTGTTTATTTTTTGGATTTATCACAGAGCCATAAAAACTTGGTCTAGATTGGAATTTATTAGAGTTCAGTCTGAAATTTTTTTCATTTTGGTTCCCAAATTTGTTTTAAATTGTTTCAGCTATTTATGTTGCAAAAGCAAATATACTTTTGGAGTTTTAAATTTTTTTTTGTTTTTTGTTTTTTTTTTACTTGTAACATAAAAAGCAAAGCCCTGGCTTTAAAATAATGGTAAGGATAGTTCTTTTAATCTTAGCTAACCGGTTTTACTCATATTTTCAGAGAAGTTATTTCATTTTGAAAAATGAAGTGATGCTATTTTGTCTGACATCTTGGAATTTTCCTGTTTCCTCTCCCGTGTTCCTGTTTCCTACTAGAAGATCTTTTTAATGTTTTACATAAAATACTTCTCTCTGTTGTGAGGATTAAATAAGGTCGTGTGTACAAATCTCTTACCGTTGCGAAGTTCAGAAATGAGTATTCTTATTTTTAAATATAAATGTATGAAGCCGAGTGGACCTTGCCTTAGAAAACTCTTAATTTTCGTGTGCCCCTAATTTCCCACAGCTCTTTGTCCCGTGAGAGTTGGGCAAATGCATAGGACTTGGCACCACAGTGGAAGATCTGACTCGGAATTGGACACGGTTCACGCTTTCGAGGAAACGGTGACATAGAAGGTTCTCGGTGTGGACGTGGGTGACATTTCCACAGAGCTGACTGTTGTGAGCATGGGACGTGACATGGAAGAGTGCGCAGGAGCCCTGGGGACAGACCAGAGGGGACCGGGTCTGACGGGGTTGCGCCTTCTCGCACTCTGTTGGACCGAGGTCACGAGGGCTTTGAAGGTGCGTGGAGCAGGGAACTAGGTCAGCTACAGTCACTCGGCTTCCCTGTCCTTGGCGAGCTTGGACCGAAAGCCTGGCGGTCTCTGGGCAGCCCATGCTCCTCTCTGCTCCCCGGTCAGACCCCAAAACCCTGAAGGTGGGCGGACGTGCTTTTCTGCCGGTGAATACCAGGCCCCTGGCGCTTTTGGTCAGTGGCCCCATATTACTGTGTCACTGAGATCATGCGTGTGTTTGTGTGTGTGCGCGCATCCATGTACGTGTGCACGCGTGTGCATGTGTTAACTTACCAGCCAGCTCACTCAACGCGCACCGGCCAGCACTCTGCCGTGGCCGGCCGGAGCGCCGGACCCCGGGACGCTGGGCGCCGGGGGAGCGGGGTGGCCCAGAGGTGCCGCCAGCGGCTGGACGTCCAGTAGATGGGGAGCCAGGGTGCACTGGGGAGCAGAGTTCAGGAGGTGGGTGAGGGTGCCAGGCGTTGGGCTCGTAGGCCTTGGTCAGACGTGGGGTTTTGTTCTGGGCATGCCGTGGCCGTCACCAACCTTTGAGCAGCAGGTGAGAGACCTCAGATGCTGGGGGCGGATAACTGACACAGACATGTAAGTTCGGGCCGCAATCTGGCCCCACTGCGGGGCGCAGCGGAAGGAGGCCTGCAGGCCCCCTCCCTGGCAGCGGCAGAGTGACCGCACGTCCGCCTTCGGTCCACCACAGAACCGGCTCTGCCCCCACCCCGTTCCCTTCCCGCTCAGAGACCCTGCGCCAAGCCGTCCCCTTGCCCGGGTGAGCGGCGGGGAGGAGTGCTGGGTGTCCGGGGTGGGCCGGCCTGGCCCCCTCAGGTGACAGTGACCACCTAGCGTGCCAGTTCAAGGGTTGTGCCTCTCTCTCAACACCTGTGTCCTCTTGTTAAGAGTTTCAGTTTGCTCCAGGAAACTGCTGGAAACTGCTGGAAACTGCTTCCCGGTTGAGTGGCCGCTCCCGCAGTGTCCCAGCAGTGGCCGAGTGGGCCTCAAACCGTTGCCTGCGACTGCGATGTTTCGGGAGTCGCCGTGGCCTGCTCCAGGATGAGAGGTGCCCTATTAGGAAAAATCGTTCCGAGGTTTTTCATGGGAAAATAGCTGGTTTTACTTCTTTATTAGCTTAAGATCTTGCTGGTTTTTTTTGTTTTGTTTTTTTTTTAAGGAAATGAAACAGTTCCTGATCCTGATATAACTCTCCCCGCTCCCCCCTCCCTCCTCCTCTGAATGTGGTGTGCATCTTTCCCGAGTGCGCTTCAGAAGTGCACACTGCGTTTGGCGTGTTGGACTTGTGCCCAGTGACGCCAAACTGTGCATGTCTCTGTGCTGCCTGGCTTTTACTCCACATTATATGTATGAATTTTGTCCATTTTTATGCATTTCTAGTAAGTGCATTTAAGCCTATAAATTTTCCTCTGAACACGGCCTTACTTGTATTTCGCCAGCATTAGCACGTGGCATTTTCATTATTTAGTGCTAAAAGTTTCTAATTTTTGTTAAGATTTTTTTCCCCAGGCTGCATTTAGATACGTGCTCTTGGATTCCCACACGTATGAGCTCATTTTCAGTCCTTTCTGCGCTGATTTCTACTTTTGTGGCATTGTGTTCTGCGCACAGGCTCTATGTAACACGAATTGTCGTGGTGTCCGTTGAGATTTTTGTATTTGTTGTGAGACTTCGCGCTCTGGTTCATTTTCACAGATGGTTACGTGTATGCGTGAAGAGAACGTGTTCTTGCCATCTGCGCGGTGCAGGTCCGCACAGATGTCTGCTGGCCCAGCCATATCAGTTGTATTCAGATTATCCACGTTTTCCTCGTTTTTTATGCTTGATTTTTTAAAATTTAGGCATGAAATGTATTAACATTTCCCTCCACGATTGTAATCTTGTCAATTTCTTCTTATGATTATATTCATTTTTGCCTTATGTATTTGCAGCCCGTGTTATTAGGTGTATTTAAGTTGAGACTTTTTATATTTTCACGTGCAGTTCCTTTTATTATTTTTTGAAACTAGTTCTTATTAGGTGTTTTTCACCCTACGTCTTTTTTATTTACTTAATATATACTGTTTTTATCTGCATCCTTCAATTCAACCTTAAAAAAAATAGTATGTTTTAAGTGTATTTCTCGACATTGAACCTCAGAATCTCTTTTACTCGTGGGCTCGGTGCGTTTGCATCGTCACGACTCATGGGTTCGATCCCTGTGCTTCCTCGTCTGCCTTCACACGACGTCCGCACTTTATCATGAGTTTTCTTTGCTTCTTCGTCTCTTCTTCCTCAGCCTCTACGGATTGATCAGAGATGTTTCTAATTCCCCTTTTCACCCTGTGTGAAAGCTTTAACCAGTGCGACATGGTTAAAGAAAACACACCCCAGCCGTTCCGTCTTGTACTCTTCAGCTTCGAAAACCAGCCATGTCGTAAGGTGCCTAACTCTGCAGTTGCTGTCTATCTGTCTGTCTGTCTGTCAAACTAGATTCGTGTTTTGTATTCTTTGTATACTCAGTGCCCCACGTTTGGCAGACGGTCTCCGAATGTCTGTCGAACGTCTTTGGATTGTTTGCGTGTTATGGGGTGCGTTAGCGAGCTTTCTCGGCCTGGGCCCAGTTTGGGGAACACTAAGCCATATCAGTATCAGTAGCTGCCTGACGATGACGTGACCCCTGAGTGTGTACTGTTTCTCACCTGAACATGCGTATAAACTAGTTTATACCTTACACATTTGTTACGAGGAGGTTGAAGTGTTTGGACTGTTCTCTGGCCCAGTCCCCCCTCACTCTCCCTGTCCCCCCACACGTGTGTGTGCATTCGTCATCGTTACTGAATTTCTGTCAGCCTTTATTTTCTCTTTGTAAGAATCACTTCTAGGTATGCGTACATTTTAAGCATAAATGTCTATGGATATACTTTATTAAATTGGTCTTAATATTTTAGACATTCTTGACATGGAGGATGGAAATTGTTATGAACCATCATATATTTATGTAATGTTTGGAGCCAGATGTTCCGTAGATGGATTACAGTTCAGTTCTATTCCATGAGACATTTAAAATCACATGTTAAATCTTATGACAGCAGCATGGGGGAAGCGAATGCCATAGTGCCTTGATGATCTGGTCAGAGGCATGGCTGGATTTTGCCCGTCATTGCAGACATGTCCTAGGGTTTGACGATCAGCAGGTTATACTGATCTTAAACTTTAAATGCCTCTTACTAGGGGCATCTTTCCGAAAATACATTAAATACGGATTATGATCTATACTTTAAAAATAGACTTGGAGTACTCATATTTTAGTCTTTTGATCTTATACCATCTGTAATTCTAAAGTTTCAGTGGCATTATGTATAGAGAAAACATATACCAGCACGTCTTAAGGTCCGAACGTACCATTAGTAACTATTCATATAGGCGGTTCTGACGTTGTTATAATCAGAAAAGTTTGGAGTTTTGTGTGGATAAATTTTTTTTGTGGATTCTCTGTTGTTAGGTATCGGTGGTACCACGTTTATTAATTCTCACCTTGATTTTCCCCCTTGCGTCATAGGGATCATCGTTTACGACTCAGCAGCCTCAGGTTTATAATCTTTTCGCAACCATGGCCATTGGTGACGGGATACGACTGTGGGACTTGAGAACTCTGAGGTGAGACCTGGCGTGGTTTGCAGGTTGCAGCTGGGAGCGAAGCTCGAGAGACCATGGAAATGTCTTTCTGTCAAAGCTCAGAAAGCGCTTCGCTTTAAATATTTGTAAACCCGGTTCAGTCTCTTTTTTCCAAATGCAACAAGGCTGTGCTGAATGTATTCACACTGACCGATCTAAGAAAAGTCTGATTCATGCACAGAGAAGGTCGCATAAATTTGGAATGGTAAAATGACAGGTGCTGGTCTTCCCTGTGTTATGAGTGTGACCTGTGGCTCCTGAGGGCTGGCAGCGTCCAGGGGGCCACCGGATGGTCTTAAACAGCGTGGCGCGTACATCCGTGCACAGGTGCATCCGTGTGTGTCGTGTGAATTATCCTGTTCTGACAGTCATGTTCTGCCAGACAGTTGTAAGATATGTTACCCTGTTCTTTTGAATCCTGTATCCCGACAATGTGTAATGCCTGTAACAACATGGAACATTTACGTGTGTGCGCACGTGTGCACGTGTGTGTTCTATACCCACATGGAACATTTACATGTGTGCGCGCACGTGTGCACGCGTGTGTTCTGTACCCACGAGAACGTCATTAGCAGAGTGCCCCGTGCTCCTCTTTCATCCTACACACGTGCAGACCCCAGTGGCCAGCCCCCCGCTGTGTGGAGGGGTGTCGCCTGCGGAGGGCCTGCTGGGCGGGGCCGTGGCGCCCGGTGCCGGTAGATGCTGGCGAAGGCTTTCTCAGCACAGCTCTGGCTGTCCCTGAAGGTGCTGGGGGTTTTCCTCAACAAAACTAGCATCAGTTCCCTGACATTTTTTTAACATAAATTTTATATAGCACTTTATAACTAGTTGCCTGTAGAACTTGACCAGCCTTGATAGAATGTCACACCTCCCCAAAGCCCTTGAATCATGGATTTAAATAACTTATGATTTTAAAAGGTTTGTTTTTATATTTTTAAAGAGCTTCAGAATATGTTTGTTATTTAATAGTCTCATTATATAAAAAGTTTATTTAGTGTTAGTTTGGTCATCTTTGTCAATTTATTATTCTGAAAAGTGTTTTAATTATTTTTGAAGATCTGTAGACTACCCTGAGGATCTGTTTAATCCTCGTATTTAAAAATGTTCTTTCATTGTTACTTTCTTCATTTTTGTGAAGAAAAGCATCGGGTTCATATCTTTATTCTATTTTGTGTTAAAAATTAAAAAATCATTTTTTCTCCTGGCATCTGTCACTTTTCCTCATAGGTGTGAGCGTCGTTTTGAGGGACATCCGAGCCGCTGCTACCCGTGCGGGATGGCCTTCAGCCCTTGCGGACGCTATGTGGCCTGCGGTGCCGAGGACAGACACGTACGTGCCGCCGTTGGTCCCAGACCCATGGGCCGCCCACACGGTTGCGCATTAGGAGGAGAGTCTGTTTTACGCTTCAGCACTGGCCGGTGCTTCGAGACTCGCTCAGCAGTAGTATTTTAATAGCAGTAACGTGCGAAGGGGAAAGGTCGCCGTGGTGATTTATCCGTGCTCCTAATAAATACGGCTTGGATGTCGGTACAGGAGAAGCTGTTACGAGGCACGAGCCCTTTCTCAGGACAGTGCCAGTTACGGGCTGAGGTCGGTTCCTCTTGCCGGATCCCTCTGCCCTGACGTTTTACTGTAAGATCACGTTTCGAAGCAGTCAAAACGGATGAACTAAGGAACACTTAGAGATGCCGTGATACGCACCCGCGATGCTGGAAAGGCCCAGGTTGTTATTAGAGATAAAGTCAGTAAAGATTTATTTTGAGACTGTTAAAGCTGCTGCTACCCTCGGTGGCTGACCGGTGGTCAGTGGCAGGCCAGCCGCCATCATGCTCTGTCTGTGCGGGAAGGGGCAGGGGAAAGGCAGAGGGATCCAGCAGAAGGAACCGGATGTTGCTAGAAGCTGGCAACACTTCTGTGTTAGCGTGACCTGAAATAAAGCTCTGTATTAAATCTTGACCATTTTGGTCTTCTAAGAGAAGTTTATTATTTTTTTAATGAACTAAAAATTCAAATGTCATTTCTGGCAATATTTTTAAAAAGTAAAGCGAATAACATGATAGTCGATTTATTTTCCCTGTGAACGATGTCACTACTGTTACGAGGTTTCAAAACAGCAGAACTGGCTTGTTTGCAGTTGTTTCTCCCATTTCCTTTATCGGAATAATTCGAGTAAAGGGGAGACATGTGTTAAAAACTCCGTGAGACAAAAAAAATGAAAGAAACGTCTCTTCACAGATACTGTTCAGCAGAATTACAAAATAGTCGTGATGAACTGGCCTGGTTTCGTTTGCGAAACATTCATCTTTTTCAGTGGTACATTCAGTCCTTACAGTTTTTGTGAAAATATTTTTGAACAGTAAAGTATTATTCCAGCCTGAGTGCTCTGTGCCATATCCTCACCCTTTGCCCTTCCCCCCGGGCTTATTAATTTAGTTGTGGAGTAAGAGTTACTTTATACTTGTTTTATTTCCACTTTCTTTTTTTTTTTTAAGTACGTTTTAGCTACAGGTTATTTCTTTTTGATAGGGTAAAGTTGCTTCATAAACTAAATAATGTTACTTCTACTTAAAACATTTGTTGTCCACATGGGTTGTGGTGACTGACTCATTTACATAGTTATTCCTTACTTTTCCACCGTATTATACAAGCTGAATCTTGTCCTTTTGGACTGATCGTTGTCACTGCGTGGAAGTACAGCTCACGACAAGTGCGTATCTAATAAATATTTCTGATATTTGGGGCTTCAAACTGCCGTTTTCCTGTTTAAAGGTTGTCATGACCAGCAAGATTCATGACTCAAGAATGTTTGGGCGAGAAGGTGTGTTTCATCGAATACCATTTTCACATGGAAAGCAAAACCTGTTTCTTAAACAGATCGCCCCTGGCCGCCTCTCACAACGTCCCGGTGCCCCCTTACGTGCGTTTGGAGAGTTTGCGCAAGTACAAGCCAGGGTTCACTCCCAGCTGGAGTTGGGTAGGCACGGAGTGAGGCTCAGGGCGGCCTCGTGGGCACGAGGAGCTTCTGTTCTGTACCAGGAGCTCTGCGGAGACCCCGGGCCTCAGGCACTGCCTCCTCCTCGGCGGGGCGCCAGCCTCAGCTGTGTCTGTCCGCAGTCAGCAGGCGGAGCGGCGGGAAGCGGCTTTCTTGTCACCCGGTCGTCACCGGGGCCTTCCGCTCACCCCTCTGTGCTTGTCAAGGGCCCTGTTGGAGGAGAAAAGGTTCTCGCGCCTTCGTTTTCATCCCACCTTCTCTTCGCCCTGAGCAAGCTCTCTGGACTCTAAGCATAGCGGCTGAAGCCAGCCTCCTGCACGGACCTTCCTGGCCCGTGGGAGCGAGTGTCGGGGAGTGGACCTGACCGCCGAACCTCCCAGCTGGCCTCTGTCCCCGCCAGTTCTCACGGCCCGAAGCCCTTTGCTCTCGCGGCCTCTTCCCCACACTTCTCTGCACGCGTTTGTCAGCGTCCGCCGACGCTGCCTCCTCTCCCCGCGCTGTCCGTGAAACTCGACCCGCTTCCACGGTTTGTGCCCTCCCTGCATCAGCTGTCACGTCATCCCTGATGCTGGTCCCTCCCCTGCTTCCTGGGCATGTAACCGCTGCCGGACGTCACGTGCAGACCTGGCTGTCGCCTCGGACGTAGCACGTGCATAACGAAGCGGACGGTGTCCCTGTGGCGTCTGCTTCTCGGAGTGCGGCGTCGCCTTTCGTAGGTCCTGGTGGTTCCAGCACCTCTCGCTGCGTTGTGGAGACGTCACCGTGATTAGAGGCCTGTCTTCTTCCTCTGGGTCGTCTGGAGTCTAGAAGGACGTGGGGTGCGTGCGTGCGTTAGCGTAGTAACCTGCAGTGTAGTCCTGGTGTGTGATTTACAGGTCGTGCAGCAGCTGCAGGTTTAACTTTTTCGAGTGCAGTCGCTGTGATTAGCTGCCCGCAGGTCTCGGTGTGGACATCTGTTTTCGTTTCTCTGGGCAAATGCAGAGGAATGACATGCTGGTCTGAAGGTTGCTACGTGTTTGTCGTTACCAGAAGCTTCCGAATGGGTTTCCAAAGTGGCAGCAGCACTGGAACAGTTGTGCACCAAATGTCTGGCACACACGTGTGCACACAGAGCTGCAGTCACAGAGGCTGACGTGTGCTCGGACACGTGCTGGGTGGGTGGCGGCTGCAGCAGGCGAGGGGTTCAGATCGGAAACGAGGCAGCTGTGAGTGCAGGGCCTGGCTGCGACCCCGTGGCTGAGACCAAGAGGACGGCTGACCCCCAAGCCCTGCTTCCTTGTCGCGAATCGAGACAATAGTATTTTCTTCGTTTGGCCGCAGAGGGTTACATGAGGCCACGAATGTGAAAGTCAGTGTTTAACAGGTGCTTGCCGTCATGACTGACCTCCATACTTTGTCATCAGAAGCGAAGGGTGCAAACAGGTGGTCATTATAATTCCCTGATCCGCTCACTCTCAACAGCAGACGACAGGAGAATCTTCGATCCTGAGAACGCTCCAGAATTAGGGCGGTCTTGACGATAAAATACTGAGAGTAGAGGTAGCTTTGAAACACCTGTGAGATGAGAGGGAATGTGAAGATGCCCCGAGTCCTTTATGAATGGGCGCTGTCACTAGAAAGATAGAAGGTGCAAGCTTAGAGTCAGAGACATCAGACTGGAGGCTCGGTACCCACACTGGATGGCCGGACTGGTGACTTACCCTCTATACGTCACGGTTTCCTCAGTTAACACCCCTATGGGGGTGTTAATAGTTTCAAGGGAACATGCCTCATCCCACAGTTGTGATTTATGTGACAGTTGTGACATGCCCTGTAGATAGCGATAGACTTTCCCTATGGTGAAATACTGATGGCTGCTCTAGATACAGATCCAAATACGAATGTAAACATAACTACGGGTACGTAGACATGTTTCTATCTCTACACACATCTTTTTATATAGTAACGCCATTAGAGGCAAATGTATGTTTTTATTTTTAATTTTATCAAGAGCTATAGAAAAAATTCTAAATATCCGAATTGCTCAAATTTCAAGCCAGTTACTAGGAAACAGAGTAGACAGTTCTTTTTCAGGTTGAAGGAAAAAATGATAAAATATCACTTTTTCACTCAGTTTGAGACGTCCAGGTGAGATTTGTCAACCGCTAGAAAGAAAGTAACTACCAAAAAGGGTTCCCGGTGGTTAACTGAGCTTAAAAAAAAAAAAAAAAAACCCGAAAGAAAACAGAGCCTACCAGCCATTTCTAAACAGGGGCGGGGCACACAAACTTCACTCCAGGTGGGAGCCTGCACTGTACCACCTGCCGGCCCTGTGTTCCTGCCATCTGAGCCAGCCTTTAAAAAGGAGTTCACGGAATTGTATTTCACCCAATAGGACTGAAGCTTCCCTTGTCCAATCAGCTGTGTAGCTGTATCCTCGTTAGCATCTCCCCTGACCAATCAGTGCAGCTCCATTGTGACCAATCAGGACAGTGTTTTTTGGACCAATCAGACCATGAGGATTTGGAGTCCTCATTTGCATGAGAAAGGACCAATCAGGGACCAGAGGCAGAGACTTCTGTCTATATATGTCAGTTCCCCTGTGGCTTTGGGAGTACACTGTTCCTTTCCACAGGAGGCTGTTTCTCCCCTGCTGGAGCCCTGTTGCTGGGCTCTACCTGGCTGGAGCTGCAACACCTGGGCTACCTCACCTATGCCCAAGGCTGCTCACAGCTGTGCTGTTCTGGCCTGTGCTGTGTTGTTTGCACTGAATAAAGTCTTCACCACACCCCGATTTGAGAAGTCCTGTTGGTGTTGAGTAGGTGCCACCCACCATTGGTTGACAGTCTGGACTACAAAATCCGTAATCTTTCCTTAAGGTTAGTCATTGAATGTGAACACGTTTAAAACTATTCACAGGATAGTAGGATTTCATGATAGGCTAGAGAGGATGATATAAATTCATTAATAGAAAATTTCTAAGTGGAAAAAGGAGAAATGCGTGCTTCGTAAACTTAGTTCTCCGACTTACGTGGCGTTAATGGACAACGTGCGAATCACCGTTACGACACTTGATTAGCCACTGAACATACTTCGGCTTTGCGCGATAGCTGGGTATTGACCGTTCCGACGTAGCAGACCTGTCCGTCTTTTGTCTTTCAGGCATACGTGTATGAAGTGGGCTCCAGCACTTTTTCTCACAGACTGGCAGGACACACGGACACGGTCACTGGAGTGGCCTTCAGCCCGTCAGCCCCCCAGGTACAGTCTTCTGTGTAAGTGGGGGGTGGAAATCTTGTTTCCCACAAGTCTTACGCCATATCTTTTGTATCCGTCAGACTTTATTTTGGTGAACTTTTATAATATTTAAGATTGCATGCCAGTTTTCATCACGTGCAGGGAGACAGACCTAGGAAGTAGAACTTTTGGGGGAGAAAGAAAAATCTTGAGTGTGTTTTTTTTCAGTGGAAGCGGTTGTCATGCAGTGCTGACGTGCATGTGTTCTGACTGAAACACAGAGAACTGTAGGAACGGACAAAGAGTAGCACTAATATGAACGCCACGGTTAGAACCGAAGGAAGACGGCGAGAGAGCAAGCACAGGGCGAGTGAGGGAGGGATTCAGAAGTTCTGAGAGAAGGCGAACGGGGGAGCAGGGCCGCGGATTTAAAGACATTTACGAGGAGGAAGGAGTAAGAGAACGTAGCTTCAGCGGCAAGTCAGTCAGTCACACAGCAGTGAACGGTCTGGTGTTCAAAGGCAGACGAAGTTTCTTTTATAGAAGTTGTAAAAGTAATAGTAAATAACTTGAGTATTTGGGAACATCGCTTTCATTCTGTCCATTTAAGTTTGCCGCTTTGATGCGGAGGATAACATGGTCGTGTGACGACATGCTGTGGTCTGACGTGCGTGTGTCTAAACTAAGTGGAACCGTGCCGTGGCTGCCGTTTCGCCCGCTCTTCACTGGGAGTGGATTGTTGCGATCCAGATGTCGCGGTGCCTGGGACGTGGTTTACCTTCCGTTTACAGTGAATGTTTGGAAAATGGATAAAGTTTGTCACGTCATCGACTCCAACATTACGCCCCATTTCACACTGATCCTAACTTTTCTTTTGGTCCACAGCGGGTGGGCATTTAGGTGATTCCTTTTCAATTCTTTGAACGACACGCTGCCAGTAAGGCTGAGGAGTGGTCAGGGGTGAGAGTCAGAAGCTAGGAACAAAGCTAAGACCAGCGAGGTCAGTGGCGGGAACTAATAGAGTGATTTCTAGGCAGAATATTGATGTTTTTTAACATTCAGTACTGGCGTCAAAACGTCTTTTAGCATAATCGAACTGAGGAATTTTTTGAACACGTGGAAGTTTTCAATTAGAAAAAGTTGTGTTGGTCTCTTTTGCCATCGAGATTATTTTAATGACTAAAAGAAGCAAATATGGCTTAAATATAGTTATGATAAAGGGAGAGAAAGGAATGGCTGTACTTCTCATGAACATTGATTCTTGATGAGATGCCATTAAAAATGGGCAGTCGGAGAAGTCAGGCTCCTGGTTCATCATCTCGGGGGATGAAGAGGCCATATAGAACATGAATGAACACTTCCGAACCTCAGCGTACTCTACCACACTTCATATGTGTAAAATTGTTACTGAATTTTAGGAATCATGATAAAATAATCCAGTGCTAATTGTCCAGAAGTTTTGCATTTTGTCTGATCATTGTTATCAGAAAGGTCTCTGTGAAATAACAATATTTCCTCAATAGTGGACTCAAGATCTGATTAAAAGTCTTTGTTTCTTAGTTCCGTGTTTATTTGATTTTAAGATACATGGTATTCTTTCACACACACTTAGACAGTGGAGTAAGTTTTAGAACCCTCATGCTTCCTGTTTAAAGCAGTGTATTCTGTTTTATTAGATCACTACTGCATCGTACACCTAATGTTGTTTAAAATTGTGTCTGTAGAACGAAATACTCAACTTCTGCATTAAAAAATACTGAGTGGTACCTGAAAACAGCAATTTGAACATTTCGATGGTGGAAGAAGACCCCTTGATTCTAATCCGGGCGTGCTAACAGTGACAGTGCGTGCTGGGGTGTAGAGGGTGGCTTTGTGGACACGGCGAAGAGCAGGTGACTTGAGTGCATTCCCGCACCAGCAGGCAGGAGGGGCAGGTGGCTTACGCTCAGCAGCAAGGTCGTTGCGTCTGGAACGGGGACACTTCCCTTCTATTGGGGGCAGGGGACAAAACTCATGCACAGGGTCGTATGTGTGGGAGGCACCTTCTAAATACCCTTTCCTGCACAAGAGCCAACAAGGCAAGTAGCACGCAGCTTCACGACCACGGGTGGGGTTACGCTTGAGAAGTGGAGCAGGCCCGGTGGGGTCTCGTCCCTCCGAGTCCAGCGGATCAAGTTCTGGAGCCGAGGTGGCTGCGTGCCCTCCTCCGCCCCCTGCCTCTCTGTCATTGTTCTTCTTAACCTCGTGCATTTCAGGGACTTCCATGGACTTGAAGATATTCTTGCCAAGATCAGCTGTTGTCCTTTGAGCCCCTCTTTCCTGTGGTGGCTGGTTGTGTGGAGTCACCCCACTGCCCGAGACGGCGCGCCGGCCTGCGAGGTGGTGCGGGGGACGGGGGTGACGCGGACCGCACCCTTCCCAAGAGCTGGGGGTGGGCCGTGCTCTCTGCATTCGTGACCTCATTTAAGGCATTGGTCTCCCCGTTACCCGGCTGGGAGGTGGCCCGGGCTCACGCAGGCCACTTCAGGGGCTCTGACCCTCAGCGGCCGGCTTGTGCAGGTGAGGCGGTCGCCGACTTTGATCCGGGGACATGGCATGGCTTTCGGAAAGGCAGGAGGCCAATCCCATGACTAGTTATTTTTTAAATAAATTTTAAAAGATATCCCCCCTTTGAAAAATCAAAGTTTTGAGCCCCTGTAACGTTGCTAGATACGGTTAGGAGGAGTGTTTTTTGTCACCATTATTGCTCGTCGTCAAAACGAGACTTGCGAGTCTTTCGGGAAAAGATGACACTCGCACTAATGACATTATTCGAGCAGCGCGTGTGGCAGAGAGGAGGGCTTTCGTTTGTTCGCGGCGGCAACTTGTGCTCGGACCGAGGCTGTCTTCGCACTGATGTGCTCCACTCGGGCTCACCGTGGGGGTGACGGTTTCCCGAGCCCGTGGCGCACGGGGCGACGTCTCTAGAAGCCGGTGAAGAAGCGACTTGTAAAGGACTTGCGGTCCGTTCAGGGCGGTTTCAGGCGAGGCGGGCTTCCCGCAGGCGGCGCACGTCCCTCGCTGCTGGAGTGTGCTGCTCGGGGCGACAGCGCTGGTGTTGACAGGCGACGTGCTGCCCTCTGCTCCTAGGGGACACAGTGGGAGCTGTGCCCACGGCCTCCGGAGTGACCTGCCTCCGCGGTGGCGCCTTACCCAGACCGGCCACTCCCGGATGGTGCCCAGACGTGCAGTGTCGCGGTCGCCGTGGGCCCGGGCCGTTCCCGCCTCTCCACAGCATCTCCAGGTGCGCCCCCGGCCCCGTCACCAGCTACGCTGCCGAGAGCTCGTCGGCAACCACAGGCGTCAGCTACGTGTCCTGACACAGCCTCGCTCATCCGCGCGGTGCACGAAAACTCCATTTTGGTCCAAAAAAGTGAGTCTGAAATCCTGTCACTAGTACAGCACAGCTCTGGAAGCACACGGGGACTCGGAGCAGCTCTGGGGGGCGCGTCCCCACGAAAGGGCCCAGACTGGGGACACTGCGCAGGAAACCAGCTCTGCGGCTTGGGCAAGCGTGGCCCAAAGGGCGTGTCGTCACCTCAGCCGACTGGACGTGCAGAGGACGTTGGCGTGTTCATCCTACCACGCATCCATGTAGGGCGGGACACAAATTCGGGGCGCCTCACAGTGAAATTGTCCCGGCTGAGACTGTGACCAACAAAGCACTTCTAAGGAGAGGGAGCGAGGTGTCCCAGAGCAGCCCCCGAACTGGAAGAAGCCTGTACCCTACACTGAGCTGGCGGGTCCCGGCTTGGAGGTGCGGGCGACAAGTTCGGGCGAAGGTCAGGATGGCTGTAGGCTGCCCGCAGCGCCGCTGCGCGGGAAGGGCAAGACATCGGGAAACTTCGACTCTAACTTCACCGCGTGTTGTCAAATTTCTGTGAACGTGACAATCAGTTTAATCTTGCGTCAAACACTGAATGACCGGTGGAAGCAGCATGAGCGTAAGACGACGTGGAAGGGAGCTGAAGATGGCGTTGGCGCCCCTCTCGCTGGCGGCGATTCAGGCTTCCTCTCTCGTCTCCCACGTCTGCGTCATGTGGCGTTTGGCGTGGAACGTCTCGCTTTGGTCTCTCCCGCCATCCTGGGTTGCGTTGGCCCATGTAGCGATGTCACCCTGGAACACAACGTGGAAACTCGGGAGATGTCAGATGGTTTATGTAGAGACGAGATGCAGGCGGAGGCCGCTCTTTGCGCAGAGTCCGGTGCGCATGGCCTGGTTTGGGCCGCGACACACGATACCCTGGCAAGGGAAGGAAGCGGGAGCGAGCGTGGACGGCGTGCGGGGTCGTGCGAGGCCGCCCTCCGGCCTCAGGCTGGCCCGCGGGGTCACGGGGACGGGGAGGGAAAAGCGAGTGACCAGGAACCGGGAGACTTGTTTCCCTTCCAGACTGTGATGTTATAGTGGATGCGTGAATCGTTTTGATATTTTGGTATTACGAGCAATGTTTTGATGACATCTTCGAGTACACAATGTTCTCTGTATCCGGGTTTATTTTCCAAAAATAGGTCATTTAAAGGAGTATTACTGGGTAAAATAGCAAAAACATTGGACGTATTCTGATAGATATAGACGAATATTTCTCAGCATTTTTTTTTTGTTTTCTTGCCAACTTAGATTATCAACACTTTCATTATCTTTGTCTGGCTCGTTACCAGGAAACATTACCTCATTATTTTAATTTGCTTTTCTTTGAACACTATTGCACGTAGTTCCATACGCTACTACCTATTTCAGTTTTTTTCATTTTTAAGTTGCTTGTTTATATCTTTCATGTGTTTATATTTTGGACCCAATGTTTTCTTTACTGGTCGTTCTAGCTTTTAATTTAAAATTGACATTTTCTTTGTATTTACAGACAGTAGGTGGTTTCCTTAGATTTGGTTTTGTTTTTTGTTTTCTCTTTCAAGTACAGAACTTAGATTTTTCCTACTTATTTTAGGCTAAGATAATTTTTCCTTTCCAAGGATTTCTCTCTGATGAACTTAACAGTAGAATCTTTAGCATATTATGGTAATTTTTCAGTTCCTTGGCTGACTGTGTCAATATCTGGGTCATTTCAGAGTCTGGTTCTATTGATCGCTTTGTTTCTTGACAGTCGGCTCCCATTTTTGGTATGTTGTACTTTCGGAATGAATGCTAGATGTCGAACGTGGAAGAACGTGAGTGTGCCTGGGTAAGTGTGTCTCTCTTCTGGGCTGTTAGTTTGCTGGCTCGATTCAGTAGGGTTAGGAGTTGAGCCGAGTGTGTTCACTTTAATTATTCAACCTTGATTGTGGCGGGCCGTCAGGTTAATCTGCAGGAACCATTATGAAAACCGAAATACAAAGACAATAGTTACGTTCTAGACACTCGAAAATAACCGTTTTTCTTCTCCAAGTCATCTCTTGTCAAACCGTTTAGATAAATTTATTTACTGAAGCATGTGAGTATGAAATTTAAATCCATCTGATTTAATTAGGCCAAATTACTTTGAGAGTTGTGGTTTAGCTCTGCTGAGAAACAACTACCTAAGTCTGTATCTATAGAGTGTTATTTCCCTAGGTTTTTAAATCAAACAAAAGTTGGTGAGATTCGTGATCATTTTATCAGTCTGAACTCATAGCTCAGGAGTAAGATGGCACTATTTCCTTCGTCCCTGTCACTTGGGTCAGCTGCCCTGGAGATGGTTGTGCACAACAAGGGGCTGGCACGAGGTGAACATCTTTGAGGAAGCTGAGGGGTGAGACCCTGGGGTGCCTGTTCTTACCGTGGTTGTCATGGAGATACCGCTTCATGGAGAGAGGTTTCTTAACTTAGTCGAAAAGGACTCATTGAGAAGAAACCTACGCTTCATAAAGAGAATTTTAGGGTTCACACAAAGTATTTGTGGACAGGGAAGTATCAAGTACACCCTGGGTATTGTCTCATTAAAGATGTCGCTTCCCAAAGTGGGTGGGAGTTTGCGCTGCTCCAGTCTGTTTTCCCTCGGATCATCCGTGTCGAAGCTTCTGCTCTTCGTTTCTGTTTTCATTCTTGTGTTTGTCCTCGTTCAGAGTTCAGTGTTGACCACCCAGTTACACTTGTCAACTTCCGTGGGAAGCTTCGCTCCCCACCAGAGTCCTCTGTGAATGCCCCCTGTGGGTTTCTTGTGGCCGTGGCTTTGGTTACAGAACCAGAAAAAGCCATAAGAGATATGCCGAACCCATGTGGGTCACTGCGACCCCACTGGACTGGGAAAGTTCACGAGAGCGTAGGAACCCAGTGGAACGACCGCAGAAGTTTCACCCGGCAACGTGGGGACCCTAACGTGCCCATGGGGGGCTAAGTACCAACAAATTCCAGCCAGGACGCGGGAGACCGTGACCACCTGCAAACAGGCCGACGAATTAGGCAAAGGGATTCCCTGGACCTCGGGGTCACGAACCCCCTCAAGGCCGTGTGTGTGGAGACAGCGAAAAGGGGCTCTGCCCGAGTGTCAGCTGGGTGCGTTCGACCTTCCCTGGAGTGGTGACCTCACTTTATCTCAGGTCGGAGAAGGTTTTCTTCAGCGCTTAGAATTAAACATAGAGATGAAGTATATTAAACCTACAATATTAGCAGATTTTCATGAACTTAGGAATAATTTGAGAATAATTAATATTTAATGTGTTTATAATGTTTTAAGGATTTGGGTACATTAA